ACAGACATAGACAGAAAGTTAGAAGAGGTACGCACCCATCTCTAGGGGGAATGGCCACGCCATAATCCCTTCTCCTCCATTCTCCTCTTTGGATCTTGGGCACGCACACACACTCACCGGGCATCAGTTTGACACCGGGTCTGGGACTTGAACCTCAGTCGACTACATGAGAGTCCAGGGACATAGCCATTACACTAACTGCTGGTCCCTGGATGGGGTCTTTTTCTTTCTCACACTCTCCTCACTCTCTTTCTCTCACAGATATTCCTACTCCCTCCCCCACCCCTCCACCACACCCCCACCTTCCCATTTCGCTGCATACACACATGTGAGTATGTACTCTTTGGCACCAAAAAGAAAAAAAAAAATCTGCCTATGTCTTTCCTCTTGTTAATCACCTATCGTCAGTGATTTTTTCCAAAAAGATTTTTCACCTTCAGAGGTGAAACAAATTTTCTTCATGCTTATTGAGACGAATGGAACTGGGAAGAAATATTTTATTTCTTTACATCTTTATTAATTCATTTGAGTTCTTTCCTGTCCCATATTGGAAAAAAAATCCCACATGAATCAAAGTATTGTAGTTATAAAAGCCACTAGAGCTTTATCTCCAATAGAGGGATTTTTTTGTGACTAAGAACCATTAGTGAACCAAGTACTGGAAGATGATGTCTTCAATGGTGTCTATAGTTAATACATATGTATACCTGAGGTCATGATTCAAAAAACGCTAATTAAACCAGTTAAGGTGAATCAAGAAGTGTCAATTATCAAAAGGTAGAGGAAGATCAATAAAGAGAGCAGAAATTGAGAAAAGTATGCCATTCCAGGTAAAGGTTGGAATACTAAATGGGGAAAGGAAAATATAACCAGAGAATCTTTACAGAGCATGAGAGGGAAGAGGACCAAGAGGACTGTCCCCTCAGAGAAGAGCTTGCCCACACAGCTCACAATGAAACAGACACTGAACAGTGCCATGGTAACCACAGCAACGGACCAGAGCTTCAGGGACCAGCAGACTCTTCTCTCTGTCAGATCAGTAAGACAGTGCCGTTACCAGGGAGGCAGGCATCCAGAATCCCCAGAAAGCTCAAGGCAAGAAGATACCAGATAAAGAACCTCAGTGCAATTAAGAACTGAAAGCCAAAAGAGAATTTATTACCTCTCTCACAAAAACCAGATATAGCCCCAATGCCCAAAACAATATAGGCAAAATTTATCTTCAGTTGGCATAAGGCCCACTTTCTTATTTTCCTTCTTAAATATTATTACCTATTTTTCTCAAAACATCACTCTTTTATCTCTCAATTCTCATATATCAATATATATATACATATATATATATGAGATTTTTGCCTTAGGGCAAGTGTAAGAGGGAAAATGAGAAATCACTCCCCAGGGGGGCAAGGACATGCAGCAATCCCTTCTCCTCCATTTTCTTCCTGGGATCCTGGGCATGCACACACACATGCCCAGCGTGAGTTTCAAACTACTGGGTCCAGGATTCGAACTGTGGTCAGCCATGTGGGGAGTCCAATGACGTAGCCACTATGCCATCTGCTGGCTCCTCATATACCAGTATTAATATCTAGTTTCTTATTCTCTCAGATGCTTCTGGCTCTGAGGCATTACTATTTCATTCCTATTCCTATGGCTCCACCATACTGGTCCCATCTCTATCCCTTCAATCTGTTGTATGCCTCTTCTGTCTAGATGACTCTATCACTCACCACACATTTCTAGCTGAGAAAAGGGAACACTCACCTCTACCCTGAGGTTGTCCTTTTTGCACCATTTTGTGGCTCCTTGAGTTCACAAGACCCAGGAACCTCTTCTGTGTCTTTCTGTGAGGAAGCTAAGCAAAGACCTGGCTTCACTCAAAGAGGCCAGAGCTTTGAGGAAAGTGCTCCACACTCTTATAACACTAACAGACATTCAGTATTGAGTACACCTCAAAAGAAGAAGTCATAGTAGAACTAAAGTTTCCAGTGATTTAAAGACATAGGAAAAACAAAAGAGGAAATTGAGAAACATATCTGAAACTCTTCCTGAGACCTTTGACAAGAATATTCAGATACTTTGTTCAATTCCTAACACGAAATACCTCTGATTTCTATTAATTCTGCCATGAAAAATAGACATTTTATATGCTCTAAAATGAATTTATTTATAGGTCTTAATTAAATTAATCACTCCAGGCCAAGCTTTATACTGGTTATTTATTTTATGTCAGGCATAATCCATTGTTCAATAGTATTCTAGAAAGTATGTAAAAGCCTGGTTGAGTCAATATAGCTTAGCTAGTAAGAAAAGTGTTAGTAATTAATATAAAGACCATTGAACAATTTCAGAAATGTTGTTATGAAATAGAACATTTTGGAATTTATCTGCAAAGGCAATTAAACATTTTTTCCCTTAATGAGAGCGAGAAAAAGTGAGAGAAAGAAAGAGAGACTGAGATAGATATTTATTTATTTTATTTTTTAATTTTAAAGAATTATTTAATTCTTAAATTTATTCATTCATTTATTTTAATTTGACCAGAGAAAGACAGCGAAAGAGAGAGGGAAAATGAGAAAGCAAGCCACCAGGTCTGGGTCTCGAACCATGGTCGACCATGTGAGAGTGTCCAGTGCCTTAACCACCACACCACTTGTTGGCCCTTTATTTTATCATTTATTTATTTTTATTTATTTGGAGAGATTTTTTGTTTTAGGGCTCATGTGTCAGAGAGACAGAGATAGATGGAGAGAAAGAAATCCCTTTTCCTCTATTCTCCTCTCGGGAGTTTGGGCACACACATGCACACATGCACTTGGCATGAGTTTCAAGCTGCCTGACCTGGGACTTGAACCGTAATCGACCATGTGGGAATTCAGCGCCTTAACCACCATGCCACTTGCTGACCCCAATATAGGTATTTTCGACAGAGTCTTACAGAGTCTGGTCCTCTTGCCCCAGTTCCCCAATTATTACAGCTAAGGTGACAGAAGTATGCCATTACAGCCAGCATGTGCAGGTTGCCCTGGGAACCAAATCTGTTCCTTCCATGCAACCTTCAGTCTCCCAGGTAATGGCACAACATGTGCACCAATGTGGCTGACTTGGATTAAATATTCTTAATGCACCAAGACCCATATTGAGCAGAGCTTAGTAATATTTTTATAGTATTTCTTCTTTTTTTTCAGAAAGAGATTTTTGGGGGCAGGTTTGTGACATCAGATCATGATGCTGCTGCTTCAGCTTTATCATTAGCTAGGACTACAGGTACAGGCACATGTCATGTCCAATTTCTTTTAGGTTGGGCCAGGAACTGAACCTGGGCCTCCCATATGGCCTCAGCCTCCAAGTACATGCAACTGGAATAGGTTAGTAATGAGATGGAAAATTTTGAGGGCAGCCTTGGCTGAAGCTGGGAACCCCAGCTCAGGCCTTAACCTCCACGTAGCTCTGTAATACTTCCCCTATTGGACCTCATCCCTCCACCCCTGCAACCTAGCTATGCCTCCCTTATCACACTCTCCGAACTAGCTCTAATTCTGACCACCCCCACGTGCTCCTATAAATGACACGTAGGCCCACGGGTCTGGGCCCAGAGATTAGAGCACTAGCTCCTGTGTACCCACCAGCATAATAAAGGTTGTGGAGTTCTCCCATCTCTCCGAGGGCCATTTTGATTCTGGCTTCTGGTTTTTCTGTAACAGTAATAATTTATAATCTCCATGATCAGGTATAAGAGAGCTTAAAGTGGTATAAAATCTGAAGAAGGCTTTATGAATTCTTTTATTACTCAAGGGTTTGAAGATCCTTCCACATGCACAAATGGTATCTAGAATGCTCTTTCTCTGTTAACATCAGAAACATCTACACATTTTCAAGAGTAGTCTTGAGTATATTAAACAAATTAACTACTATAGATATATATCAGAAATTGAATTTGTGATATTGTGATATACAAACTGAGCACCCTAAATCCAAAACTTTGAAATTCAATGCTCCAAAATCCCAAACTTTCTGTAGTTCCAACAAGATGATAAAAGTTAAAAATTCCTCATCTGACTTCATGTGACAGGTCACAGGCAAAACACTGCAATGCAATTTACCTTCAGGCAAGCTGTACAAGCTATGTATAAGACGTAAGTGAATTTTACGTTTTCACTTGAGTGCCATCCCCAAATTATCTCATTATGAATGTGCAAATATATCAAAACGCCCCAAAATCCAAAATTTGGAATACTTTGGTCCCAACCACTTTGGATAAGGGATACACAATCTCTAACAGAAAAAATATATTTAGTCTTCATCCTCAGTTCTTGGTATAGAATTACTGAACCTTTGAGTTTTCCTAAGTGTGATAGGAACATTATTTGTTATAATATTTTGGTTTTGTCCCTGGCCTCTGAATTGTCTTCAGAAATACAAAGGATCAAAGAACATTTTTTTTTTTTGGAGAGATTTTCACTGTAGGGTGCGTGCGCTTGCCAGACAGACAGAGAGAGACATAGAGACAGAAAGCGAGAAATCACCCCCCAGGGGGGATGGTCACGCCACAATCCCTTCTCCTCCATTCTCCTCTCGGGATCTTGGGCACGCACGCACACGTGCCCGGCATGAGTTTTAAGCCACCGGGTCCGGGACACGAACTGCGGTCGACTACGTGGGAGTCCAGCGACATAGCCATTACACTAACTGCTGGTTCCCAAAGAACATCTTCTGTTATCTTTTCATCTCTAGTTCTTTTTATTTATTTTTTTTTGAGAGGTTTTTGCTATAGGGTGCGTGTGCTCTCCAGAGACAGAGAGAGATAGAGACAGAAAGTGAGAAATCACCCCCCTAAGAGGGGATGGCCACATCACAATCCCTTCTCCTCTGTTCTCCTCTCAGGATCTTGGGCTCGCACACACATGCACCCAGTGTGAGTTTAAGCCACCGGGTTTGGGACTTGAACCGTGGCCTACTACATGGCAGTCCAGTGACATAGCCATTACACCAACTGCTGGTCCCATCATCTCTAGTTCTTGAAATAGCCCCAGAACAACAACTGTAAAAGGAGCACTTATTGTTACTTATAACAAGTCTATTTTTACCCACTCCTGAGTTTACATTAATAAGATGACTCTTGTTCCCCTAGATGGCTATAGGATAGGAACTTATTGTCAAAGGAATTTACCTTGTGATTAAAGTGTTGAAACCGTCAGCCCCTCCCTCTAGGGAGAGCAAGGGGCTGAAGATTAAGTTTAACACCAATGGTTAATGATTTAATCAAACATGTTATGTAATGGAACCCCCACTAAAACTGTAATTGGAACTGGCCCTGTAGCAAAGTGGTTAAATGCTGTACAGAGGAAGCTGGACCCCACATGGCCAACCAAGGTTTAAGTTCCAGCCCCAGTAGCTGTGCATGCCCAGGATTCTTTTTTTTTTTTGAGAGGTTTTTACTATAGGGCATGTGCACTCACCAGAAAGGCAGAGAGAGACAGAGAGACAGAAAGCGAGAAATCACCCCCAGGGGGGATGGCCATGCCTCACTCCCTTCTCCTTCATTCTCCTCTCGGGATCTCGGGCACTCACGCGCACTCACCTGGCATGAGTTTAAACCACCAGGTCTGGGACTCAAACTGCGGTCAACTACATGGGAGTCCAGTGACATAGCCTTTACACTAACTGCTGGTCCCAATGCCCAGGATTCTGACAGAATGGAGAATTGGAGGAAGAGAGATTTTGCATGATCAGGATCCATTTGAGGGTGCTTTCTCTCTTTCTCTCAAGCTTGTACACACACTTCCTGGCATAAATGAGTAAAATGAAATATCAATAGAATGAAAATTTCAAACAAAACAAAAACTTTAAACAATGCTGTTGAACTAAATAATGCTTTTCAAGAGATAAGATAGTTATAGCTAAAGCTAACAATGAAACAGACATTGAGAAACAAGAGAAAAGTCCAAAATTTCTCCTGTAACAAATCATTAAGGGAAGAAGGGAGAAGTGGTTGTCAGACATCACCATTTGTTTCCAGTTCCCCTCAAAGATGAAGAAACACAGACTCAAGTACTGAGTCATCTGATGGTCTAGAAAAAGAAAACATTCCCCTATAGGGAAAATCTCTCCAAAAATAAAAAAAGAAAGAAAACATTCTTAGTGACAGGGAGGCAAAACAACTTAAAGCTATCTTTGCTTTCTTACACATCTTCTATTAGTCTTTTCTGGTCTTGACCATTACCAACCCTGTGCTCCATCTTTGTTTCTTCCATTGTTTTATCCTATTTAAGTTTCTACAGCAGATTACAGAGGCATGCCTTTAAATAAAGAGTGCTAAGATGGTGGAGGCAAAGGACAAAAGGATATATACATGAAAATAAAATATTATATACACACTGTGAGGGTGATCTCTGAAATACGTTAGGGTGGCCTTGATCATGGGTTATGAAAGAATTCACAACCTCAGAGAGAAAGTGGCTAGAAAATAATTTATCCAACAGTAGAAAGGGGACAGATGCAGAGAGTTGCATAAGCCCCAAAGGGTGGGGACAAGGAGCTCTTACTTAAGGAAAGAGACTTAAGGAAAAGGGGGCTATGGTTGAGTAATTATGATGATCCATCTGTTGGTCTTTGGGTTGTTTTGTTGTTATCTCTGGCTGTTGCAGTCTGCCGTGCATTCTGCCCTTGGTTTGGATGCCAACTATTGATGGATGCTACAGCCTTTATGTCTGAAGGCAAGAACTTAGAAGATTCAAGGTCAGTTATCTGTGATAGAGTCAAAGAGAGGCCAGTTAACCCTGGAAGAAAAGGGGAGGAGAAGAAAAATGTTTGAAACACCCGGGAATTTTAATAAGCCTTTCTCATTAAGGCATCAGTGAAACACACTGAATCATCTAGGTACCAAGGAGATACTGATTTAACCCTTTCCAATGCCGTAAGGTGCTTAGGTGACTCCTAACCCTCTTAAACAA